TTGCCTCTCAATGTGGCTCTCCGTCTTATATTGAATATCAACATCATTAAAACTAAATATTCATCTTTGACAATACCTATAAAAATATACTTTACACTAGTTGTTATTGTTTTAGACATGCACGATTAAAACGCGAAATATGTTTGATGAGTGAAATATTAAAATTAGAAATGAAAATAGTCCAAAGAAGTATTAGAAAATTGAGACATTACACATGTGTTACACAAACACATACACACACACACACACACACACACACATATATATATATATATATATATATATATATATATATATATATATATATATATATATATATATATATATATATATATATATATATATTTGTAAAGAGTACACACCTATAAGGCTAGCAAATAAATTGAGCGCAAATACCATAGCTTCTGACATTGCTTATTTACTTCTGATAACACACACCATATCGTGAAAAGATTATTTTCCTGTATATCTGGTTATTTTTAGAATCTTATAACTAGATAGTGCGATAATTTAGCTCGTAGTGTAGTTTCGTTGTGGGATAAGTACATTTAAAGATACTATAGGAAATATTTAATAAAGAGAAAATATTCCACATGTTGCAATACAACTAATGATTTTCATTTATTTGGTTTGATTTTTATCCTTAGAGTACAGAAACTAGTCTGAAATCAATTAAGTTTACATGATGACCCTTTATAAATATAAATAAATTTATAATTGTAATTACCGATTAAGAGGGTTTTTACAAGTACTTTGTGATTACAGAAAATTAAGTACTTTGGTTTAATTTAATTACAGTTCAATTAAAGCGATGGGATTTTGCCGGTTGGTCTCTATTTGTGAAAAATGTAGATTTAACTCTAGCCTAATATCCTGCAAATATAAACAGTCACGTACAATGCTGAATAGAACATTCCTCGTGTTGAAACAAACTTTTCGGCCTATCCACTTATACCTTGTCTAGATTTAGTCTGGCAAAAATGAAATGCACACACACACGCATGCACACACACACACACACACAAACGCATACACACAGACACAGACACACATATACACACTCTCTCTCCATCTCTTTCTCTCCCTCACACACACACTTTATTAAGCGTATTATGTGTGTTTCCATGCATTTATATTTCAGTTAAATTGACACGGTGTTAAGGTATGTTGTTTTTTATGTGGATTATACTTGTGTGGCTTTTTGTGTGTCGCATCGTGTATGTGTGGGGTGGTTGACGTGTATATTTGAGTATGTATATGTGTGTTCGTATACAGTAAAGAGGTAGGTCCCACTATGTGTATTCTGTAAGAGTAAACTGTAAGTATGTTTGTTTATATATGTTTTCGTACACTGTCACTGTTTTATTCTCCCCGTTAAAATACAGCTCATGTACACATGTGGTACAATACTCAAAATAAACAATGCGATGTGAATACCCGATAAATTAAATAATAATGGCTTATCGCGCTTCGGGCCATAAGTGCAAACAGTATACACACTCATTCCTAGAAAAATGATTGATGTAGTTTAAGACAGTCCAAAAGTCTGGATATCTAGGTCATATATCTGGGTCACATCCCGGCATGCACCTGTTACCTGTTTGCCCTACTTGGTACGTCACCTACACCCGCTGTAGCATCGGCTACCTAAAAACATTCCTACATATGACTCATAACACGTGTAGTGTGGCTAGGTGTAAGATAATAATGTAAACACGTAGGATAAGAAGCGATCTATATTAAGTTTTAATACAATAATAGAGATTAGAGGCTATAAAAAAAATGGAGTTAACACTATTTCGTGTGACCCACAGATACAAGCTAATTAAGCTAATTAAGTAAACCCACAACATGTTGCTGAAAAAAAAGCCCAGGCTACATAATTATATTATACGTTACAGTTTGAGTACATAAACGGTTAAATTTAACATAAAACACAACGTAACGTATTTAATCATCATCGACTTAATAGTTTGAAATTAAAGTAGTAAGTCAAAAAGTTTTTTCTAGGAGGGGGATGGGAAGGGCGGACACGGGTAAACGTATGTGTTTTCTATATAAACTCCATTACGTTCGTGGGGGGGGGGGGGGGGGAAGAAACTCTGCCATTAGATAAAAACTTCCAGTTTCTGTTTCACTCTTTCTCTCTCACACACATAAGTATATATATATATATATATATATATATATATATATATATATATATATATATATATATATATATATACTTTTAAAAACCATTAGAGATCATATACATAGTGTAGAACAACTTTTAATTTAAAAACGTTTCTGAAAGTGACGCATCGATTAAAATATAACTTGTTCAAACTAATATTTCCTTCGCTGGTTAGAGGCAAACACTTGTTTCATTTGTTTTACTTTACAGGAAATTCTTATCTTCTGTCTAGTCTAGTGTGTATGTGACATTAGGCCTGTTATCCCATAGCTCTGCTAGACATTTCGTTCTTAACATGCGTCGAACAGCAAGGATAAGACAGGTGTTCATAATTTATGTCGTTGGGACGAGATTTTCTCAGAAATTCTTACTCCGTTTTTTTATCAGGAATTTACGCAGAAACTATGAACACGATAACATACAGTATACACAATTTTATGACAGGTAAAATAGTTTATATTACTCTCTGAAATATTTAAGTGGCTACAAAATATTTACGTTTATTATCAATTAATCAATAAGTTAATGCTAATGCAGTCTCTCGGCTGGTCTCTCTCGCCAAGCGCTTCAGACTTCAGTTAGAGTTAAACCTAGCTAAGCGGAGCAGGCATTTATTTACCTAATAAACGAAACAATTTAAGAAAGTTTTCTATCCCGTGGTATTATTATACTGTCGCATACTCGGGTAAAATTAAAACCCTAGGACAACGACGTCAACACTATTATCCTCATTACCAAGATAAACATCACCACCCTCACCATTAACAGAATCATAATCTCCATCATCATTACATCATTATCATAATCATCGCCTTGTCGCAACTATAAAGAATCCTGTTATAAAAGTTGGAACAGCCGATTACAGCTTTTAAAACTCAGTCCCTCTAGTTCCATTAGGGCTCTTCTTTCTTCTTTTCGTTCTTAAATTTTAGTGTTGGAAGGGATCGAGCCTTATCTGCCAGAAGGTTTGAACTCGAGACTTTTTCGAATTTATTAACCATGACCTTTTGTCGACTCGACCACGCCTCCATCACAATTAAGGATACGTGTCAACTTGTTATGCACCATTGAGGCCATTCACTCCGATTTCAGCCTGCTTTTCTTTTTGGATTTGCGTCCATAGCCTTTGTCCAACCAAGAACAAATTACAAGGCAGCAGTTGTTTGATTTTGGAGTTGTCTCTCCTAGAAGAGTTGCTGTCCCCAGCTAAGGAGCCTCATCTGCCAGAGGTTTCGAACTCGAGACTTTTCGGTTTAGCACCATTGAGACTCGATTTGTTACTATCTTGTTCATTCACTTATCGACAACTTGTATACGACTTTTTTCAGCTTGCCTGAAAGGTACAATCTAACCCAACCTCCCTCTCATCTCTACTTCAACTATATGTTTGCAGAGCTATTGTTATTGTTTTGTTCTAATGTATAACATCTGTATGATTATTTTAATCAGCTGTCTGAGCCTACCGTAAGTTGGTGATAATTTAAAATGAATATATAAGTTATAATGATTCGGAACAAAAATCTTGTTTTTAGCATGCACACGAGCAACGTCTTAACTATGAAACAATCATGTAAACAAAAGCTTTAATCTCTTCATTTTGCACCACATAATTGAATTTTATTAAGGCGATAATACATGGGTAAATATATAGTTAATGTCAAAAATAAAATATGGCAAATTTAAAACTAAATTAAAATACTGCCTTACTTGGTCAATAATTAAAATACAATAGTTCAATATCAGTTCAATATTTCAGTTCTTCTATTATAAGTTATATGTTATTGTAAGTTATATGATATAATAAGTTATATGCTATTTTACGTTATGTGCTATTATTAGTTATATGCTATTATACGTTATATGCTATTATAAGTTATATGCTATCATAAGTTATATGCTATTATAAGTTATATTCTATTATACGTTATAGGCCTATGCTATTATAAGTTATATGCTATAAAAAATAAAATGATTTATACTAGAGACAAATGTCGATCTTTGACTACCAAGTTCTGACTTATGCCTAAAAGAACATCGTGCGAAGTGCAGGTGGGAGGGAAGTGCTGAGCAAGCTATATTTTGACAAAAGCAAGTAGTTGATCTACGCTAATCGACATAAATGAGGTATTAGGCATAGAAACTTAAAAAAAAAATACAATTATAAATTGTTAACTTTTCAATGAAGCTTCAATGGCAGCTCGTTCAGTGTTTCCTCCAGACTTTTTTTCCGGGATGCACTTGAAATTATTTCTATATAAATTCCATTTCGTTCGGGAGATGGGGGGATAGACTTTCTTCGGGGGTGCAGAGACTCCCCCCCCCCCAAAGAGATGCCTGAAAGAATCTCTGAGCCGGTAAATAAAATGTAGCAGGCGTCAAAAAATAAAAAAATAAAAATGTTACAGGAATATGGTAACAAATCAAAATTTCGAAAATATCACCGCGTAAGGAATATGTTGGCGCTCTTCCAAACCATTTGAGTGTATTCATACAGGTATGTTTGTAAATATGCTACATAGATACATCTCTCCTAAATGTGTTTTTTTTATTAAAGATTCAAATGACATTTCAAAAATTTCAATGACTAAATTATATACAAGTGTTTCCATATAGAAAAAGAATGAAACAAATAGAGCAAAAACAACATTCTAATAACAAGCTTTTATATGTACAAAAAGTAAGAAAATAAAACTAATTTGCTTTCTGTCATAAAAGCTTATGTCGTTTTTGAGATCTTTTACATATTTTAGTGACTACAAACCCACAAACGAACGACGTGAAGAAAGTAAAATCGTGTAAAAAGTAAAATAAAAAAAAAAGTATTTTACAGAAGTTTCCCCTCAAGATCCACAGGTGTAATGTAGTTCTCATCGAAATGTACCTGTCTGATTCGCGAGTTCCGAATTTCTAAAGACGTCCTCTCCTCCTCGCCGATTTCATTGTACACATTCTCATCTTGTACATCATCGGTTATTCCACCGTGATTTGCTGTTGCTTCATTGACGGCCTGTCTCTGTGGCATTGATGCGTCTTCGCTACCGACATTATTGTACACACTCTTCTCTGCATTATCATCTTGTAGGTCCTCAGTTCTTCCACTGTGGTTTGCCGTTGCTTCAGTGAAAGCGTGTATCTGTCGGATTGATGCATCTTCGCTACCAATTTCGTTGTACAGGTTTTCGTCTACATTATCGTCTTCTAGATCATCAGTTCTTCCATTGTGGTTTGCTGTTGGTTCAGCGAAAGCCTGTCCATGTCGCATGGACGTGTCTTCGCTGCCGATTTCGTTGTATACGTTTTCTGAAATATTCTTGTAATGCACACCAAAGTGTTCATTTCTGGTCTCTGCTAGCAATGGTTGACTAGATGAGTAATCAGGGGGAGGTACTCCTGATGCCCCGCTTAAAATAACATTAGACTTCACTGTATTTTTTATTACCGGCCTTGTTGGAAGATTATCGTCGTCTGATTGCAGTAATCGATTACACTCCGCCGGACGTTTGTCTGCGATTTTGCGATTAGTTGGCGCGGCTCGACTACTTTGTGCTACCGGGTTTGGTCCCTTTTGGTTTATGTTTCTAAAACCTTTTATGATCAAACTTGGCCTGTTTTGACTGCTAGTTGTATCCCTTGAAGTCACTGGAGGTAGTAAAGTATTTTTTATATGTTGATATGGGTATAATAAATATATGACAACACCCTAAGCTAATACTCATATATGTAACATTTTATCCAAAAAAATATTAAGTTTATTTTAATTTGATAATGCTTATGTTGAAAAAACTAGTGTTTAAAAGTTCACAAATAAATTCAAGCAATGCATGATTTATTTTAAGAAAAACCTTTATAAATTCAATTAAATGGTTTTAAGTGCATTCTACCTTTTTCGTGGATCACTACTCTATTCCGAATGCTAGCAAACAAAAACAAAACAAGAAATTACATTCAAGAAAATAGCATGCAGTATTGCATATATAACATACTAATTGTTATATGTTATGAGTGAATATATTTTTAAAAAAGGGCAGTTTCAAAATTTAAAAATTAAATTCCAAACGTTATGTTCAAGTAATTTGACGTGTAGTTAAATCAATCATCTTTGACATAGTTACCTTCTGAGATGTAATGCTGTAAAAGAGTATGATACACACTATTATCAGTACACATACATTAACAAATGTTTAATTAAACAGGTTTATATTATTATATAAAAATAAGCTTATAATTAACCATAGTTACCTGCCCATACCCGGACTGGAAGCTCCCCATACCATAGTTATCTCCCCATATCGTAGTTAGTTAACTGTCCATTCCATAGTTAGCTCCCCATACCATAGTTAGTTAACTGTCCATTTCATAGTTAGCTCCCCATACCGTAGTTAGTTAACTGTCCATTCCATAGTTAGCTGCCCATACCATATTTAGCTGCCCCTAATATAGTTAGCTACCAATCCATACCATAGTAATCTGCCCATACCATAGTAATCTGCCCATACCATAGTAATCTCCCCATACCATAGTAATCTCCCCATACCATAGAAATCTCCCCATACCATAGTAATCTCCCCATACCATAGTAATCTCCCCATACCATAGAAATCTCCCCATACCATAGTAATCTCCCCATACCATAGTAATCTCCCCATACCATAGTAATCTCCCCATACCATAGTAATCTCCCCATACCATAGTAATCTCCCCATACCATAGTAATCTCCCCATACCATAGTAATCTCCCCATACCATAGTAATCTCCCCATACCATAGTAATCTCCCCATACCATAGTAATCTCCCCATACCATAGTAATCTCCACATACCATAGTAATCTCCCCATACCATAGTAATCTCCCCATACCATAGTAATCTCCCCATACCATAGTAATCTCCCCATACCATAGAAATCTCCCCATACCATAGTAATCTCCCCATACCATAGTAATCTCCCCATACCATAGTAATCTCCCCATACCATAGTAATCTCCCCATACCATAGTAATCTCCCCATACCATAGTAATCTCCCCATACCATAGTAATCTCCCCATACCATAGTAATCTCCCCCATACCATAGTAATCTGCCCATACCATAGTAATCTGCCCATACCATAGTAATCTGCCCATACCATAGTAATCTCCCCCATACCATAGTAATCTGCCCATACCATAGTAATCTCCCCCATACCATAGTAATCTGCCCATACCATAGTAATCTCCCCATACCATAGTATCTCCCCATACCATAGTAATCTGCCCATACCATAGTAATCTCCCCCATACCATAGTAATCTGCCCATACCATAGTAATCTGCCCATACCATATTTAGCTGCCCATAACTGTAAATATAGTCAAACCATTATAACTATAAGGACTGACCTCGCTTTATCAGTACAACACAGACCAGTATCAGGAATGTGATAACAATCAGCGCCTCTATAGCAACAGCAATAATCCACGCATAGCTCATATCTTTGCAGTTTTCTGTTGAGTATTGAATTGTAAATCTATATATATAATTCTCTTCTGGGAGACGCTAAAAAACAAGCTGTAAGCGCGCTCCCTACCTCCCCACCCCTACATTGTCTGGTAAAGTGTGGTTCACTCTAAATGTTTACAAGCAGAGCCGGGTTTAGTGACGACTATTAGGGGCAGATAATTTAGTTTGAAACGATTTTAAACGTAAAAGGGGGGGGGGGGGGGGTAACTAAGTGGAGTTTACTGTAACGAGGGGGGGGGGGAGGAGGGGGGGCTATGGTCCTTAACGAGCTACTTATAGTGTTTTAAAGAAATATTTTCAGTGGCAGCGTTGGTACTGTCGAATTCACAAATTATGAATTACTGAAAAGTAGAAAAAACAACAACTAAATAGCGTCGTATGATATGCCGCGGGTCGGCTCGTATTAAATAATGTGTTAGATAATATATATCAAAATGGGCTGGCATTTCCTTGCGGTACATCGCTAGACTGCTAACCCGAAAGTGTCGAGTACGATTCTTGGTTGAAGTCAGTAGAATGTCACTGAGTCCACCCAGCTCTAATGGGTACCTAACTCACGTTAGGAAAAGTAAAAGTGGCTGGGCACTAGGCTGACAAAACTATCGTTTCATAAAATATTTAGAGGTCACAGAAGTAGGTGCACTTTACTTCATTTGCCCAGTAAATCGCTAGATCTTCTTCTTTCTTCTTCTTCTTCGTTCTTAATTTTTAGTGTTGGGAGGGATCGAGCCTTATCTGCCAGAGGGTTTGAACTCGAGACTTTTTCAAATTTATCAACCATGAGCTTTGCCGACTCGGCCATGCTTCCATCACAATTAAGGATTATGTGTCAACTGGTTTTGCGCCATTTCATTGACTCTGATTTCAGCCTGCTTTTCTTTTTGGATTTGCTTCCATAGCCTTTGTCCAACCAAGAACAAACTACAAGGCAGCAGTTGTTTGATTTTGGAGTTGTCTCTCCTAGAAGAGTGGATGTCTCAGCTAACCAGCCTCATCTGCCAGAAGGTTCGAACTCGAGACTTTCGGACCCCTGACTCGCCAAGTAAATCGCTCGATCTAAAAACGAATCTTTAATTGTATACATTCTACGTTTAATACATACCATGTGTAACGTCGATGTATTTTGAAGATGTTTCGCCTGTATTATCTACTTGTACACACTCATATGTTCTTTTTTTATTACAGTCTACATCATTGAAAAAATAGATCCATGAAATAACTTCCTTGTTTTTGCCATTGATTACTCGGGCTAAATACTTATCGTTTCCTGATTCTCTTAGCGACAGGGATGCTGGGAAACCCCCGGCAGTGCACGACAAAGACGTATAGCCGTCTGATTTCGACGTGAAGTTCATCTTTAAGGAGATATTTTACATACGAAAAAAATATTTACTTCCCGTTTTTGTCTGAAAAACAATCAAAATATAGTGTCTAATTTAACAGAATGTTTAGTTTAAAGTTTAACTTTTGGGGTCAGGTTTTACATTCACGTGCAAAAGACGCCCGTGTTAGCAACAGCTTTGATAATAACCTGACGTAAGGGGTCGTCCATAAATGACGTCACACTCGAAAGGGGGAGGTGGGGTCTGTAATTTTGTGACGGTGTGTGATGAGGGGAAGGGGGGGGGGGGGTGGTTCAGATGGTGCGACGTCACACTTTTGCATTATAAAAAAAGCAATGTTAGAAAACTAATTTTAGACGTTATTTTGCGTTTTAGAACACTGTTTTAATAAATTGTAATAACAATTGATTAAAATACTCTATTTTGACAGAGTTCAGACAAAATTTTGGAAAAGCATTGCTGTTTAAAAAAATTCAATTCAATTTTGAGGGGGGGGGGGGGTTGTAGGCTGAGGTGTGACGTCATTTTAGTGAGGCGGGTCTGCCTTTTTGTGACGACGTGTGACGGAGGGGAGGGGGGAGGTAAAAATCGTCAAAAAATCGTGACGTCATTTATGGATGACCCCTAAGTCTTAAGACTGTGAAGTTAAAGGCTCGAAATCCGTCCATAAAATAAATTCCCTTTATATGGTTAGGTTAATAACAAACTCACTCAATCTGACAAATAGACATCATGTTTTTATAATCATTGTAATTCGTATTGTCTCGTATGTTTTCTAAAAAGAAATGTTTTCTTTTTTCATAAGTTGTTACCCTTCTTTTAACCTTGCTTAAGAAAACATAAAATGAAAATGAAATTAAATATACTTTGTAGTATTACTATAAAGAGTTAAAATAATGTACATACCGTAATCCATAAACAAATAGCCTTAAAAATTATAATCTCACATAGCGTTGAAGTATGACTAATTTAAGGATGTGTTAATTAATCTTTAACGCATTCTCTTCACAAGTGTGTGATAGCCGTAAGATAGACATGACCCACTTTCAATTTTGACTCAGTGATTTTCTTCCTAACCGAAACTGTAACGACCGAAACCTTAAACCTGTTTGAATTCCCAAAACGGCCTGTGTTTTGTTTGTTGTTAAATCCGTCTACGGTGTGCTGTGTACGGACCGTTTATGAATATGAATGCTTGTTAGTATGCGCTAAACCCTCGTCGCTGCTAAACAGTGTTTCTTTTAAGACTTTTTACTCGGGAAGGGGGCACTTAAATCTTTCGGGGAAGGGGGCGGACTGAATTTTCCGGGGTGAGGGTGTGTGGGCAGACACTGGTAAAAGTATATATTTTCTATACGATTTTTTTTGAGGGGGGGGTGCGGTAGCCTTGCTTTGGAGGGGGGGGGGAATGAGGGAAACACTGCTGCTCAAAGAATCAATAGATGTTTCAGGTTATAAAATGTGATCCAGTCTATCTATAGGTTACGATTGCGAGAACTTTGTTTAGAAACTGATTAAAACAATTGTTATGTAACTTTAGAAACACATCGATTTAATTTTGTGTATTGAAAACGTTAGTACAACTTTGTGACTTCAATTTTTTTTTTGCTATCAGCTAGGCCCTACCATTGATGGGAAGAGGGGAACAAATTTTCCTAAAATGTGTAATGGACGACATCTACATTGGTAAGGCACTAATAAGTTAGGCAACTTGACGCATTTAACGTCTTTCTTTATCTCAACATCACCCCTAAACCTAACCCCAGACACAAACCAAAATATAATTAAGTCTAACTTAATTATGTTTAAATTTACCGATTGCGACTGCCAAAGACAACATAATCCCAACATTAACTATAGTCAGGGAAACTTAAGACTAGATCTCACCATGGCAATGGTCTGTTTCGCCTTAAATGGTATGTCCTAATCATATGAGCAAATTCTATTAGCCAAAAACAGTCACTAATTTTTAAAGGAAAGATGATTTTTCCGAACTTTTAAAGAAGGGACATAAACGATGAAAACAATAAAATACATTGTTCTAGGAGTATATCCACTGCTGAATACATCTGGAAAGGAGTTCTATCCAATACTGGTTACATTTAGATAACTTTGTTAAAAAGTATTGTAATATTGTTAACACATTTTATTTTGTTGAAATAAAAAAGAGAAGCTTGATGTACTATTACCTGTTTTAAAAAAATGGTAATCTTCAGAAAAATTGGAAAATAAAATAATTGATTTGGTGGAAGAAAAAAAGCTGCTTCTTTTCTTTTCTTTTAAAAAAAAAATTATTTACATCATATTCTTATTGCTTATATAATTAACACATAGGGGTGAACTGCTTCGTCGGTCAGCAGGGAAAAATCCCAGTAAGCTCCGCGGAACATTCTTTAAACTGCGAACAATTAAATATCTCTTGCGGTGTTCATTGTGTTAAGCACATCTTGAAGTATGGTTATGGTAAGCACACCTTGAAGTATTCAACTTATGTTAAGCACACATTGAAGTATTTATGCTTATGTTAAGCACATCTTGAAGTATTTATGGTTATGGTAAGCACACCTTGAAGTGAAGTATTTATGGTTATGGTAAGCACACCTTGAAGTGAAGTATTTATGGTTATGTTAAGCACACCTTGAAGTATTTATGGTTATGTTAAGCACGCCTTGAAGTATTTATGGTTATGTTAAGCACGCCTTGAAGTATGTATGGTTATGTTAAGCACACATTGAAGTATGTATGGTTATGTTAAGCACATCTTGAAGTATTCAGCTTATGGTTAGCACACCTTGAAGTATTTATGCTTATGTTAAGCACATCTTGAAGTATTCAGCTTATGTTAAACACATCTTGAAGTATGTATGCTTATGTTAAGCACACCTTGAAGCATTTATGGTTATGTTAAGCACACCTTGAAGTATGCATGCTTATGTTACCGGAAACTGATGTGTTAAGTGACCTGGAAAATGACACACTTATAGACCAAGTAGCCGAAATGATGAAAAGCTTATAGAAGTTGCTAAAAACAATAACCACTCTCACAATGAGTCCTGATATTTTCGTTTATAATTTCAATCAATTTTTTTATAACAATTTATTTCCAATTGCAAGTTATACTTTCGATTTTTCGTTGTTTTTTTTTATAATTGTAGGCGTTTATTGTAAGAAATTCGTGGCTTTCATTGTAGACCAGGACCCTCATGCTTTGATGTGAGTCAATGAACAATGAAAATGTTGGGTTGGGGGCCCCTTCATAAAATACCCTGAGTTTTCTCAGCTTTTGTGATTATATTATAAGAAAAGTAAAGTGATGGCCATAACATCCCTTAAAATATCGAAGACACAGAGACAGGTGAACTCTAATTCATCTAGCCCATGAACCGCTCGGTTCGTAAAGATAATTTTACGTAAATATTTTAATACGGACCGCCTGTTTCGAAAAGGTAACTTTGCCGTAACTATTTTAGTTTGTTGACACACATAACTAGTTTCAAGCTAACGCTAACTCTACTTTAAGCAAAACAAAAAAAAAATGCGCTAAGAACACATTCGTTAAAAACAGTATCGAAAATGTGGGATTTTTAAGAATCAAATCAACTCACACATAAAATATTTTCACGTTAATGTGTTATAATCATACACTACATAATCCTACATTTCCCTAGTCCAATTTAAAAAAGTAAAAAGTAAAAAAAAAAACATTTCAAGGTTTTAAACAACATATGTTATTAATGGAAAATGCATACGATTATTTGCTTTCAACCAGACAACTACCAACAGTAAACAGTATTGTGGTTTTATGGTAGGAAAAATAACGTCTCAAGTCCGTTAGACGTCCCTGTGCCATCCCAGGTATTATGTGTACCTGTCTCACCTAGAAAAGTTTATGGCGAATGGGCATAGCGCTGACAACACTATTTATTCATATGCCTAGGTCAGTGAAACAGATTGACTTTTTTCAATTGCCAAATGGATCATAAGTTTTAAAAAAGATAATTTACTTTTATTCCCACTGATTAAAAAACCGTTATATGTTTAAAAGAGTCAGGTACTGATGCTCTGTTATTACATGCTAATTCACAAGTAAGCAGAAAAAGAGAACGTAAATGCCTATGTAGATATATATGTTCTACTAGCACTTGTAGTAAAGTATTAAAATGTTGTCTCGGACATTCGATATCAGTTTATAAGCCTAGAGATAGGACGATAGGACGAAATAGAATAAATACACGTTTCTATGCCAATATAACATAATACGTTTTTATTAAAATAGCTTAACTATTCCGCACAAACTGAAATCATAAACACACAATATATATATATATATATATATATATATATATATATATATAGGCTAAATATATATAGACTATATATATATATATATATATATATATATATATATATATATATATATATATATATATATATATATATTTATATAGCCTATATATGTATATATATAGGCTATATATATATATATATACATAGGCTATATAAATATATAAATATATATATATATATATATTTATTTATATAGCCTATATATGTATATATATAGGCTATATATATATATATATATATATATATATATATATATATATATATATATATATATATATATATATATATATATATATATATATATATATTCCACCGTATGTGCCCAAGACACATGGGGTCGGCAGATGTAGACTTCTTTGACACACATTGTCTATGCTTGGGGCACCGTCTAGACGGCCGTCTCATACCCCACCAGTACGCGACCAGCCCGCTCTGAGACCTGTAGCAATGAAGATGTGGTTTCCTCTATTTCTTGGTACGTGTGGTTCACGTCATGTCCGGTACCGTTGGCAGCTGCAGTGATTTCCTCCGTAGAGACCCGCTTCTGTAGTGAGTAGACGTCATCTGAGACTACGAAGACGCTGGCGTTGGCTGGGAAATGCAAAAGTATCTTTAGCATAGCGTGGTTGGGTGGTAGAGCGATCGACTGCTGCCATGAAAGTTTCGAGTTTGAATATCGGTTCGGACTTGAGTTTGCAGGACTACACTTAGACTACTCCGCTCTAACGGGTACCTGACTCAAGTTAAGGAAATTAATGGATCTGGATAGTGATGTCTACCCTATTCATTAACATGGCGAGGTCAGAAAAGATAATACAGGCAAGAGAACAATAGCATTAAACTAACATTATTGAATAATTACATAAGGAACATTAACACATTTTCTCATTAGTGGAAAATAGTAGATATAATTGAAAAAAGTATCCATTAGAAACAGTTGTATATATATATATATATATATATATATATATATATATATATATATATATATATATTTATATATATATATATATATATATATATATATATATATATATATATATATATATATATATATTGATAGCGTTTTATTATAAAATATAGAGTTAAATCATTACCATTTGTTGCATTCAACATGTCGATTTGCAGTAGTTTTCTAGAAACAGAAAAAACAATTTTTGTCTTAAAGTTAACAATTATGAATTGAAAAAGATTATTGTATTTTTTACATAGCTAACATCATTTCGTATTGATTACAATAGGACTTGTAAGTCTCGGTCCCTCTTGCATAAAATTAGCCAGGGAGAGAGAAATTTTCGGACCAAATTAATTGTTTTGAACATGATTCAGACTGATAACACAAATTTGGCGGCCATTTTTTCTAGGCATCGCTTCAAGATTTTAAAATACCAAAAGTGCGCTAGTCTACATCTTAAAATCGATCAATTTTATTATCACGGTTTACGATTTTAAATAATATAAGATTTTAAATAACATAAGAATAGCGGAAGAAATGTATCTATTTTATTTATTTTACTGATTTACATTGGGTTTAAAAAATATAGGCTGGCAAGAACTAGAACGAGAAATTGGTTATTCGCTTACACACACTATTGGTGACCAGCTTTAGAGTTTCATTACACTGTTGTTTGGAAGATTATAGACTAAATAGAAGGGAATACAACTGGGCCATAGAAAAAAAAAAACCATAGCTTCTCATCAAGGTCTATAATCTTTCGTTCCACTA